TTTATTAATGCTTTATATCTTATTTTTATGTAAAATTTGATTTTTCTATTATTGAAATAAATTTTTTGTGTATCCACAACCTTTCTTATTGATTTCTTTAGGCTGTGTTTGGTTGACAAATTTGGTGAGAAAAAGGGAAAGGAAAAATAAAATATAATCTCAGTTTTTGTTTGGTTATAATGGAAAACACAAGAAAAAAGAAAGTGATAGGAAAACATTTTTTATCTTTTGAATTTCCAACTTAACCAAATATACCTTAGAATTCGAATCCTATGAATCAACTTGTTTGGTTCTAGTTTTTAGAAAATTTTACTTTTTTATTTTTCATATTTTAATATTTTTAATGAATTTTTTTAATATTTCAAGCAATTTATTTTTTATAAAATTTTTAGACACACCTAACATAAATATACTTAAAAAGTATAATATTTGTGAAAAAATCTTTAAAAAATACACTAAATACCAAAAATTAGAAAAAAAAATGAAAATTCCGTACATTTTTCATATTTTTGTATATTTATTAATTTTTTAAAATATTTTTTCACAAATATTTTACTATTTAGATACATCTAAGTAAGGTGCATCTAAAAAAATATAAAAAATTGCTTAAAATTTAAAAAATATTCACTAAAAATAAAAAAATACGAAAAATAAAAAATTCAATTTTCAAAAAACTGAATTCAGAAAATTGAAACCAAACACACTGATTAATTCTTTTTCATTTTCTTTCTATTTCCTTTTTTTATTCAATTTCCTTCATCAAATCCTCCAAACAAACATAATCTTAGGGGTGTTTAAGAATTGAAATTTTTTACTTTTATTTTTCTTTTTTTAGATTTTTATAAAAAAAATGTACAAAAAATAATAGATAGAATGATTTAACCATTTATAGCAATTTTGATCTAAAATCTTAAGTTTTCAAATGGTGTCTAGAAAGAATTTTTTTTTAGTTGGGCTTCTGTAGGAGGAGACTTTTTTTCTTGGGAACCTTTTAAACAAGAAAAAAATAATTAGCCTTTACAATTGAGACTTTTAAATAAGAAGAGTTTTTTTAATAAACTTTTGGACAAAGAGATTACTATTACACTTTAGACAAAAAATAATTTTCAGTTTTTTATTTTTTATTTTTTATTCTTATAATCTCTAGACTTAATTATTTTTTTTTGAACTTTTAAATAACAAGCAAATTCTTTATTTATTTATTTTTAAATTGAACAAAGAGAGTTGGAAATTCGGAGTGTTTGGGAAACCATGTCTGAAATTCTCGTGTATACCAAGCACATTAACATGCCCAATGTGTATGTAGCATATGATGTGGGGCCATCAGCCTCCATAGTTGTTAAACCTCAAGCTCAGGAAAATGTTCCACATCTCTAAATATATGTTTTGTCTTGGTTTGGTTACTTACCCCTTTTATTCATCTTACATTTTTTTTTTTTTTGAATTATTCTATACTTCTTCCATCTTTATTTTTTCTTCACCATACATGATTGGCGACTAATGCCAGAAACTAATTATCACTACAAGAAAAGTAGGCTTAAAAGACGAAATTATTTGCGACGGCACACTTGCCTTCTTAAAAAGTTACTTTTTGTGACGGCAGAAAATGCCGTCTCAAAAAAGCAGAGTATATGCGACGGCACCATTTGCCGTCTCAAAAAAACAGAGCATTTGCGACGGCATCATTTGCCGTAGCGAAAAAGCAAAGCATTTGCGACGGCACAATTTGCCGTCTCAAAAAATGAGAGTATTTGTGACGGTATTTTCTATCGTCGTAAATACTCTGCTTTTTCGTGACGGCATTTTCTGCCGTCGCAAAAAAGTGACTTTCGTGTTTTTTTTTTTTTTTAGTGAATATTTGTAAAATTTTAAATATTTTTTTTAGATGCACCTTACTTAGATGTATCTAAAAAATAAAAAATTTATGAAAAAATATTTTTAAAAAATTAATAAATACATAAAAATACAAAGAAAAAAATGTATTGAATTATTGTATTTTTGGTATTTAGTGAATTTTTAAAAGATTTTTTTTACAATTTTTTTACTTTTTAGGTGTATTTATATTAGGTCTGTCTAAAAATTAAAAAAATTACTTAAAATATTAAAAAAATTCAGTACAAACAATATAACACGGAAAACAAGAAAGTATAATTTTCTCAAAAGAGTTTTTGGAAAACTCTAACCTAACATAGTGATTGTGGTTTTGAGACAGCTTTATATATATACAGTCACAAAATGGTTTGAATAAATTCAACGATATTTTTCTGTTGCAAAAAAAATAAAAAATAAAAAAAAACGATGTTGTCTTACTCTTTTGATATAACATATCTCTTTTCATTCATTTTTTCATCTTCTTATCTCTCTGTCTCTATCTCTGTCTCTTCTCTTTATCTCTTTCACTCATCACTCTTCTTTCTGTGTTTGTCTGCTTCTCTCTCTCTCTTTTTCTCTCTGTGTCTCTCGCCTATCTCTCTTCTCTCTATCTCTCTCATTTGTCTTCTCTCTCTGTCTTTCTCGCTCATCTCTCTTCTCTCTATCTCTTTCATTTATTTTCTCTCTCTCTCTCTCTCTCTCTCTCTTTTATCTTTCTATCTCTCTTCTCTCTCTGTCTCTCTCTTTTTTTGTGTCTCTCTCTCGCTCATCTCTTTTCGCTCTATTTCTCTCTCTTTTTGTCAATCTCTCGGCCATCTCTTGTTTCTCTCTCTTTTTCTATCTCTCTCTCTTTATCTTTCTCTCACTCTCTCTCTCTCTATCTCTTTTTCTGTCTATCTCTCTTTCTCCCTATCTCTCTCTTACTCTCTCTCACTATTCTCTCTCTCTCTGTGTCTGCTTGTCTATTTGTCTATTTCTCCCTCACTATGTGCGCCTTGCTCACTCTCTCCCTCACATCTTCTCAATTTATCGATCCACTATAAGAAAATACACTTCTAACAACCACTTTGTCTCTCTCTCGCTCATCACTCTGTCTCTCTCTCTATTTCTCTTCTTTATCTGTCTCTTACAAAATTAAAATATTTTTAAAATATTTAAATATTTAAAATATTTAACTGTGACCACCGCCACTACTGTTACTACTACTACTACCATTACCTTTCATCCGCCATCGCCACTCTATCTCCTTTACCACTACCACAACTTCACCACTAATCTCCTTCGCTACCACCACCACGACCACCACCACGACCATCACCTCTTATCCACCACCTTCACTGTCGCTCCTTTTCCTCTACCACAAAAAATTAGTTCCTGGTTTTTAGTAACAAAAAAAAAAAAATGAGCCGCGAAAATTTTTTTTTTTATTAAAATATTACCCCTACTTCTTCAAAATAAAAAAATAATAATTTTTTTTCATTAAAATAAAATGAAACAAATAAATTTTCAACCTTAGTACTTAAAAAAAATGGAAAATAAAAAGAATTCATTAACTACAAAAAAATAAATTATTTTAACCAAAAAAATTTCATTTTCCAGCTCTTTAATTCCCCCATTTCTTTTCCCCCTTTTGTTTCTCACGATCTCAAATCATTAATCTCCAATCCCTTAAACAAAAAATTCCCAATTTCAAAAAGAAAAATGTTTCCGACCCCCTAAAAAACAGACCCTCTCGATCCCCTCTGAGCTGGACAGACACGTGATGGGTCACGTGACATGCAGGGGCCACGCACCTCCTCTTTCAGAATTCAAAAACGGAAAATATAGAGATACAGAGAGTTATGGCCGGAGAGCTATGGTCGATGGAGGAGAGCTATGGCGGACGCACGATGGAAGAGGGAAGAGGGAAGAGGGAGGAGGGAAGACGGATAGGGGTGGGGAAGAAGGAAATATCAGGGCCGTTCCCGCTTTTTTTTGTCTTTTTTTAAGTATATTTTTTTTGTCTTTCAAGTACGTGTATCACACCTTTTTCATTGTGCAATTCTTTTTCACTTGACTTCAGCAGGTGCCACCTCAGAGGGAGTCATGGGGTCAGTTTTGGAGGGGGTCTGTATTGCCACTTTGTCTCTCTCTCGCTTATCACTCTGTTTCTCTCTCTCTCTATCTCTCTTTTCTATCTGTCTCTCACTCATCTCTCTCTCTCACTACCCATCTACTCTACCACCTTCACCACGATTGCAAATGTCACCCCACTACTACCACTGTTGCCACTCCATCTCTATGACTACCATGACTACCACCATCGCTACCATTCCACTACCACCACTATCACTACTGCCACTACTACTACCATTATCCCTCCTCTACCATCGCCATTCCATCATCTCTACTACTACCACAACTTCACCACTAATCTCCTTCGCCATCACCACCACCATGACCTCTTATCCACCACCTTCACCACTACTGCCGTTCCTTTTGAAACTTGATTCAAATTTATTTTTAAAAGACTAAAAATTAGTTTTATGAAAAAATTTAAAAAATCAAAGCTATTATACTTGTCAATTTTATATAATTTTTTGAAGGATATGATCAGCTTGTTTGGTTTAGATTTTTAGTATTTATTTTTCAGGAAATTGAAATTTTTTATTATGTGTGTGTGTGTGTGTTTTTTTTTTATTATTATGTTTTCACTATTTGTTTTTAATATTCTAAGCAACTTTTTGTAATTTTTAAATACACCACACATAAATACACTTTAAAAATATAATATTTGTAAAAAAAAAATATTTATAAAATTCACTAAATACTATAAATATATATATATACACAAAAATTTAGTACATTTTTCGTATTCTTGTGTATTTATTGATTTTAAAATTTTTTTTGACAAATATTTTATTTTTTAGATACATTTAAACAAAGTGCATCTAAAAATATAAAAAATAAAAATTACTTAAAATTTTAAAAATTCACTAAAAATAAAAAATATAAAAAAAATAAAAAACTCAATTTTTAAAAAATTGAATCAAAAAAATCGAAATCAAATAATTTTTAAAAATTCAAAAATACATTTTTTAAAAGAAATCAACCAAACATGATCTCAATTTTTTACCTCCCTCCCAAATTTCACAATGTTCGAATTTCCCACAAAACCCTATCTCTGATTTCGTTTTCCCTCTCTTTCTTTTCACGCTCAAACAGAAAATTCACCAAAAGAAAAGCCCTAATTTCTAAACCCCCTAACGCTAACACACAGTGTACTCTCCACTCAACTCTTTCCTTATCCACACACACTCACGCACAGAAATGGCTTCCGCGAATGCTATCTTCACCGCCTCGATCCTCACTTCTCCCAAACAGGTAATACTATCATCACAACTCTTTATCTGCTGCCGATGCATGCATCCGTGTCTATGTATGTATGTATGTATGTATTGATTGATTGTGTTGCGTGGATTCAGGGGAATTTGAGAAGTAGGAGAGTGAATCAACTACTGCAAGGTCAGAAGATGAATTACAATGGGGTGTCCTCGAGTCGGCGGTTCGTGGTGAGAGCTGTTGCGAAGGAGATCGCGTTTGACCAGAGTTCGAGGTCTGCTCTTCAGGTAGGCATCGATAAGCTTGCTGATGCTGTTGGCCTCACTCTTGGTCCTAGAGGTATAATCTCTCTCTCACTCTCTCACTTCTTCTTCTTCTTCTTCTGTTTCCATTTCTTTGTAGAGTTAGATGTTTGTTATTTTACAATTGTGTTTGTTGATTTGTAAAAAAAAAAGAGTGATTGCATTAATGTTAAATCTTAAAGTTCGTTTGAATTGAGGACAATAAAAGAAATGCATTTCTTTTTATTCATATCACCTGTTTTGATTAATAAAGAGATAGAGATGTGGTGAAATGGAAGGAAATACTCTTAAAATTTCCATTTTGAATCTCTCTAGAAGTGAAAAGATTGAGAGAAAAATGTTACTAACAGATTACTATTTTTTTTCTGTTTCATGATACTAAAACCGTCCCTTTAAATGTAGAAGAAATAAAAATAAAATTGACTCTTTGGTAATATTACATAAGAGTTTTTCTATTCTGAATGGAATTGTAGATGGCTGGTCAGATCAAGATCTATTGGCTAAATTGTGGAATATAGATTGAATGTTGGATTAAAAAACATACAACAGTGAATCAGTATGAGAAGCTGTCTCCATTTTAGGATTGATTCGTTGGAAACTCTGTGAAGCCCTCCTTCCTAGGGAGAGGAAGACAGAAAGAGAAAAAAGGTTCAGTTTAGTTCTCATTCATTGGCGGGGGGATTTGTTCTACACAGAGAGCATTTTATTGAAAAAAAGAGAGCATTTTTTTAATATATTATTGCTTAAATTTGTTAACTACTTGATTAATAATGTAATTCTATGGAAATAAAGGGTATCTCAACGGATAAAATACTTGATGTAAGGAGGCTGCTAGCAGTCAATGTAGGCACATGCCACCTCACCAACTATTCTCTATGCCATGAGGTAAGTCTTGATATACATACATATATTTATGAATGTTTATTTACAAATTTTAATTAATTATTACTTTTTTGTTTTTGTCTTTTGGGAACAGGTTAAAGGACATAGATTGAATGATAGGTTGGAGGTTGTTTCTCTAAAGCCCTGTTTGCTGAGGATGGTTGAAGGTAGGTTATGCTCATAGTCCAATATCTACACCAATATCTATAACTAATGGTTTGTGGGTCTGGTGCCATTAATAGTTGTTGGCTTTATGAATCACTATTTATAGGTAGACTTTTATGGAATAAGATTCTCTATAATATTCTTTTTGCAATAGTTTTACAAAAGGTCAAAATTATTTTGTAAAATTATTGCAAGAATGATTATGTTTTGAACTTAAACCATCTATTTAAATTATAATTGATACTGTTTTGGGCTTAAACCACTCACTTAAACTAGTATTGCAAGATTATTGTAGAGAATCCAACTTTGTCTTTGATGATCCAGTGATAGCATACATTTTGTATAGTAAACTTAAATGAGAACCACTAAAAACTCAGAAAAAATAAAATTTAGAATATTACTCAAAATTTAAAATTAATGGTTGAGATTCACTCAAGATTTAGCCCTACAATGTAAAGTTTAAACACACATCATAGATAAAAACTTGTGGGAGAAAACGGGATTCCAACCGGGTTCCCGGTTTGGGAGTTAGAGCCGGATTTTACTTTAGGCAAACTAGTTCCTTAAGAAACTTGAATTCGAAGTGTTAATGCCCCAAAATCACCAAACGACATCGGTTTAACACGAAACTTGACACACACGACGGCTTAGGCACGAGAGACTTGTGGGAGAAGACATGATTCCAATCGGATTCCCGGTTTGGGAGTTAGAGGCGGATTTCACTTTAGGCAAACTAGTTTTTTAAGAAACTTGAATTCGAAGTGTTAATACCCCCAAATCACCAAATGGCGTCGGTTTAGCACGAAACTTGGCACGCACGACTGCCTAGGCACGAGAGACTTGTGGGAGAAGACGGGACTCCAATCGAGTTCCCAGTTTGGGAGTTAGAGCCGGATTTTACTTTAGGCAAACTAGTTTCTTAAGAAACTTGAATTCGAGGTATTAACGCCCCAAAATCACCAAACGACGTCGGTTTAGCATGAAACTTGGCACACACAACCGCTTAGGCATGAGAGACTTGTGGGAGAAGACGAGACTCAATTCGGGTTCCCGATTTGGGAGTTAAAGGCGGATTTCATTTTAGGCAAACTAGTTCCTTAAAAAACTTGAATTCGAAGTGTTAACGCCCCAAAATCACCAAACGGCGTTGGTTTAGCACGCAACTTGGTACATATGACCGCCTAGGCACAAGAGACTTGTGGGAGAACACGTGACTCCAATCGAGTTCCCGGTTTGGGAGTTAGAGTTGGATTTCGGTCTAGGCAAACTAGTTCCTTAAGAAACTTGAATTCGAGGTGTTAATGCCCCAAAATCACCAAACAGCGTCGGTTTAGCGTGAAACTTAGCACACACGACCGCTTAGGCACGAGAGACTTGTGGGAGAAGACGGGACTCCAATCGGGTTCCCGGTTTGGGAGTTAGAGGCGGATTTCACTTTAGGCAAACTAATTCCTTAAGAAACTTGAATTCGAAGTGTTAACGCCCTAAAATCACCAAACGGCGTCGGTTTAGCACGAAACTTGGCACGCACGACTGCCTAGGCACGAGAGACTTGTGGGAGAAGACGGGGCTCGAATCGGGTTCCCGGTTTGGGAGTAAGAGCCGAATTTCGGTCTAGGCAAACTAGTTCTTTAAGAAACTTGAATTCGAGGTGTTGACCCCCCAAAATCACCAAACAACGTCGGTTTAGCACGAAACTTGGCACGCACGACCGCCTAGGCACGAGAGACTTGTGGGAGAAGACGGGACCCCAATCGGGTTTTCGATTTGGGAGTTAGGGTCGGATTTTTGTCTAGCCAAAATTATTTCGTAAACTATCTTTGTAATTATATGGTAGTTAATTTTTTATGTTTTTTTTGTAATTAAAATATTAATACCATTATATTGTCATTAATTATTTTTATTTTGTTATTTTCAGATATTTCCTGAGTAGCAGTTTGCTTATTGTGGAATGCGGGCGTGTAAATATTATGACCAACTTTTATTTTTGTAACCCACGGAAGAATGAAGACCAAAACTTTTGGTTTTGGTTTACGTTATTTAGATTTGTGAACAACATTATGGCGCTGTTTGGGATTCCGAGAATTAGGCTATTATAGCCTCATTTGATTTTTTAGCCCAAAAGCAACACTGTGCATGGATTTTCAAAAAAAAAAAGAAAAAAGAAAAAAAAGAAAATAGGCTGCTGCTGGACAGTGTTGCCCTAAGGGCGAAATTACCATTTTGCCCCTTTATATCAATTTTAAAAAATAAAAAGTTAGGGATAAATCTGTCATTTTAAATTTAAACATCATTTCAACACACTTTTCAATACAATAACTCAACTAAAAAATCATTTCATCTTCCCAAACATAAAAACTAAAATAGCTACTAAAATAGCCAAAAAGCCAAATAGTCTACTAAAATAGTCACTTCCCAAACGAGGCCTATGTATGTATTATGCGACATTATGTAGTGGGATAATTTTTATTTTTATGAATTTTTATTTATGTATTGTTATGAATGGAACAACATTATGAATTTTCATTTTTTGTCAACTTTTGTTTATGTATGTATTTATATTATTATGTAATTATCGATTTTTTTTAGTTATTTTTCATTTAATACAGGTTATTTTCATATTTTTAATAATTTTAATACAGTTTTTTTTTTTTTGAGACGGCAGCACACACCGTCTCAAAAAAAAAAATTAAACCAAGGTTTTTTGTGACGGCACCGTTACTGTCGCAAAAGATAGGGAATTGGTTGAAACGTAATGCCTTTAGCGACGGTTTTATTGCCGTCACCAATACTCCTTTAGCGACGAATAAACCTTTAGCGACAGTATTTTTTGCCGTCACAAAAGACTTTTTTAGCGTTGGCAGCACAGTGCCGTTTCAAAAAACTCAGATTTTCACGTGTTATTTGTGACATAATTTTTCCGTCACAAAAAAGGCATTTTGCCGTCGCCAAAAATTTGCGACGGCGTTATGCCGTCGCTAAAATCCTTTTACAACCCCCTTTGTTGCGACCTCCACTTGCCATCGCAAAAAGTCACTTACTGTCGCAAAAAACCTTTTGAGACGGCGTTTGGGGAAAATCAATTTTTTTGTAGTGTATAGTTCAGTTGACTAAAATTTTTGCACATTATCCTCCGTTTGGGAAGTGGTTTGGAGGCTTTTTTGGCTAAATTTTTTACAAAAAATAAAATGGATTTTTTTAGTCTAATAAGATAAAACATCACATCCAATTCATAATCATTATATTTTGGGGGTGTTTGGGAAGAGATGGTTTAGGCTAATGTAGCCTCAAAAATAAAAATAGCCTAAAAGCCTTTAATCAAAAGGTTTTCCAAAAAAAAAAAAAAAAGAAAAGAAAAATGTGGCCGGCTGTGGCTGTTACTGTGACAGTGGTAGGCTGTCACAGTGACAGGTGGTAGAATTATACTTTTGCCCCTATTGGTTTATTTTGAAAAATGTGAGAATAGGGATAGAATTGTCATTTTAATTACAAACATCATTTCAACACATTTTTCAATACACCAACTCAAATAAAAATCTATCTCATCTTCCCAAACATAAAAACTAAAATAGCCTACTAAAATAGCTAAAAAGTCAAAAAGCCTATAAAATAGCCACTTCCCAAACGAGGCCTCTTTCTCTCATAAAAAATTCAAAAAAATAAAAATCCTTCCCAAACTAAGGGTATGTTTGGTTTGTGTTTGAGAGATGTGTTTTAGAGATAAAAAGTACGAAAACATGTTTGGTTTGGTTTTTTTTAAAAGATGTTTTGGAAAATTATTTTGAGATAGAGTTTTGGAAAAAGTGATTGATTTGATGTGTGTGAGAGAGAGATTTGTTTGAAAAACTTGTTTGGTTTACAAGTTTTGGGAAATTTTTTTGGGAAAATTTGTTTGGTTTGGTTATTTTTGAAAACTTATTTGTAAAGAAAATTTCCCAAATTTTTTTCAGAAAATCAAAGCAAACGAGCTCTAAATTTTTTAGTCTCAAACTAAAATAACTAAAAAAAAAAATCAAAAAATCAAATCCCAAACGGGCTTACTCTTATCCCGCTGCCCTAGTTGCAACTTCCTATGTACCCAACCAAAAAAAAAAAAAATGTCTCCTATGAAAAGGCTTCACTAGTTTTATTTATTTATTTATTTATTTTTTATTTTTTAGATGGGACGCTTCACTGTTTGAGAATGGCAAGTCGAAGTGTCCTATTGCATTCTTCATATAAAAACCTACAAGTAACTTTTACTAAATATTTAAAGGGCTAAATTACAAAAAATAAAAATAAAAATAATAATAATAAAAAAAATCAAGGTTTGGGTATTTTTCAATTTAAATTTCAGAGTTTTAATTCTAACAAATTAAATTTTAGAGTTTCTTTCGTGTTTCAATGTAAACTTCCGGCCACATCCGTTTGATTAAACTAATGGAATTTGGACAAAATTCTTAGATTCAAATATACATGTTAAAACACTTGTATTTCCTTCATCATAACTCCGTTTCGTTTATTTTTTGCATCGTTAGATTTACCTCATGGCCTAATTTTCAATTCACCCCTTATACGCCTTGTTCCACCTCTTTTTGCGTGCCTTTGGAACTCCGAAAGTTGGCCAAAAATAAGATTTTTCTCTCTTTGGGCAAAATTTTTAAATTCAAATATACATGTTCAAACATTTGTGTCTCATTCATCGTAACTCCGCTTCGCCTCATTTTTGTGTCATTGAATTCACCTTATGACCTAATTTTTGTTCCACCCCTTATCAGCCTTGTTCCACATCTTTTTTTGCATACTGTTGGAGCTCTTAAATTTAGCAAAAAATAATATTTTTCTCTCTTTGGGAAAAATTATTATATTCAAATCTGCATGTTCAAGCACGTGTATTTCTCTTATCATAATTTGGTTTCGCCTTATTTTTGCGTTATTAGATTTACTTCATAGCCTAGTTTTCATTTCACCTATCATGTGCCTTATTACACCTTTTTTTGCATGTCGTCAAAACTCCAAATGTTGGCCAAAAATAAAATTTCTCTCTCTCTCTCTCTCTCTCTCTCTCTCTCTTTTGGTTTTGTTTTCCCTCTATCTTCTATCTCCATGTTTCTTTCTTCTTATTTCATTTCCACAATTATTCTAGTTTTTTCTTTTCCTTCATGGCCCTTCTACTAAGCTCGTGGTGGCTACCGAACCTCTGACGGTAGCGGTGTCGTCGAATATAAATATATATGACTTACAAAATTGGAAAGAAACATAAGAGGGGAAAGGCCATAAAGGAAGAGGAAAAGAGAGAGTAATTGTGGAAATGAAGGAGAAAGGAAGAAGCACAGAGATAAAAGATTGTAACAACTGTACTCTGTCATTAGCTACTAACCCTTAATTACGAATGCCTAATATGTGTTTAAGAAGAAATTATAAGTTAATTGTGCAGCTTATGAATTATTTGTGTATATATCTGTCTATGGTAGGAATATCTGTCTGAATTTCTGGTTTGATATGAAAATTGAAGGCCTTATCGGTATCTGATTACGAAATCAAATAGGTTTATGTGTTAATTAGGATTTTAGAATTTTATGACAACTTTAATTAAAATTTGATTTGGAACCAAATAATTAGAATACATTAATAATTAAAATGAATTAGCTTAGCTTTAATCCCATTTAATTAAGTAAGCTAATCTTATCATATAAATAAGGCATGTAAGCCTAGCCAATGATAATTCTATCATCTTCTTGAAGACAAAAACGTAGAGAGAGAGAGAGAGAGAGAGAGAGAGAAGGAGAGAATTTGAGATCAACATTCTAGAAGAAGGAGATTTAAAGGAATGACTTGGAATCTAGCTAGAGATTTGGAAATTGAGAAGATCAACTTAAAATTCTTGATAACTTAAGGCTTTAGGTGAGTAAGCAACTCTTAAATATTGTGTTTGTCATACATTGTAAGAAAACAAGTGAGATAGGTGAATTACCATGAGAATTAAGTTTAGATTATGAAATTGGGCATCAAGTCATGCATGCATGCACATTTCATCATAATTTGAGTTTATTTTTCAAGAAATTCTCTCATGCATGTCATTATTCTAACTTGGTTTTGGAGGTTCATCATGTTCTATACCATTTTGTCTTAATTGATCATATTTACAAAGTAAAGAACTTAGATTATTACATGGATGTCTATGACATGAAGAAAATAACATGCTTTTGAAAGAGTTGGTTGAATGTTGGGCCTTGGTTTTGAGAATTGATCTTCATTCTATGTTTTTATACAAGTGTCTAAGTGTTTTCTACAAGTTTTGGCCCAAAAGAATGAGTTTTAATGTGTTAAACTTGTGTTTTGAAGCTTGAAAAACAATCTGGAAATTTTAGAGTTTGCAGGGTTTGCTCGAGTGGTGAACTCTTCGCTTGAGCGTACTTTGCGAGCTCTCAGAAGTTTTGCAAATAGTGTTGTTGGCTCGAGCGACCAAAGTTTCGCTCGAGTAAACTCACCTTTGTTAGGCTCATGGCTCGAGTGACCAAAAAGTTGGCTCGAGCATAAAATCCAAGCTCTCAATATTTTTGCAGACCAAGGGATCCGCTCAAGAGACCATAGCATCGCTTGAGTGAACTACCCTGCTTTCTAAAATTTTGCAAAGTGTTCCAAATGCATAATTGCATCCTCATTCCATCTTAAGCATTCTTAAGCCATGGTTTAGGCTACAATAATGAGGAAATGAATTAGAAACAGACTAAGAAAGAATATAATAAGTCAAGTGTTTTCAAAGTGTGTGTTTCAGTGTGTGTTTCAGTGTGTGTCTGTCACGTGTTTGTGTAGGTTACGCGCCGTTATCCGTCTGATCTGTCTAATTCGTGTGATTTGCTTCTGGAGCTATCTGTGAGTAACAACTTTGTAAAGATATGTTTGATTATACATATTTTCTAATTGTACGTTACACTCTGTTTTCTGAAATGTTATTTTCTGATTAGATTGAATGATTGTCCGATTTCTGAAATGTACTCGTGACATCCTTAGCATTATCTGTTATCTGTTACTTGGTATTAAGGTTTCATGTGGGTTCCATTCACAGAACTGATTATGCATAATCAATTATCTGATCTGCATGTAGGTCTTAATGACCATTTCATGTGAATATGGGTCTTTATGACCAATTACTCTGCATGTGGGCTGTTATGACC